GTGTCGCGTGCCTCGTCTTTGGGTGGTGGACTTAGCAGTTATCGCGGGGGAGGTGGTGCGTCACGCCCAGCCGTGGGTCGGATACCTGTTGGTACCAGTTCAAGCCTGGACAAAGGTACCGCACAGCAGGTGGGACGCAGCTAGCGACCTCTTAGGTGCCTGGGCAATGTTGAGCCTAGTCCTGCCTAAACCTTGTTGGTCCGAGTTCTTATCGATAGTCTGGTTCCCATGACTTGGGCTTCTTATCGCCAGATGATGCTTCAAACCGAAATCTAAGAATGGCGTGAAGCTACATCGGAATGTCGCACTTGGTCAGCCCCCGTGGCTTATCGCGGCTCTGCTATCATGAGGTCGTATCCTACCCCAGGTTGCGGTCGCTGCTTTTATTGTGTTCTCATATTTGGTTCATCAGAATGTAGATACGGAATGCCGATTCCAATCCAGACGGATCCAGACGGATTCGTTTTCGCATTGAATTGAGTTACAACCGATCGTCTTGGGCCGTATTAGAATTTGAAGCTTGGGCAGTATATTTTATTTAGAACCAATCAATCGGCTATCGCGGAAAGTGCTCTGCTCATAGCTTCTTCATTTTGATCTCTCATTTCCTCTGTCATTCAGTTGTCAATCCCGGCTTGATTGCTGTGTTGATTGAGGCCTTTTACAAAGTATCTTGCTAGTGAAAGCTAAACACAAACCCCGCCTGGGTGCTATTGGTGAGAACAAGCGGTAAATGGCCCTAAGTGGCTCGTTTCTTTTTGGAGGGGTCAATAACACGCGGCTTGGATATATGTGATGATGTCGATGAAATGTAGAAGACTCTTGATATTCGATCTGGATGTTTACGCGTTCATGATGTTGGATTTGTCCCTGCTAACATGCAAGGCCCAGAACGTCTTTAGAAGCGTGGCACACCAACGTGGCGCGCGCTATTGCCTTCAATTCCAAGCCTCTTCCCCTCGCTTCAGCCATTTCCCCCTAAACCGGGACGCGGGGTATAATCGCCATCTAGTCGTCAGAATAGACTCGACGTCTCGCTGTCATAGGGAATGCTGTATTCATGACGCGATCGCCACCGGCGCTGTAAATAAACATGTCGCTTTTTCTTTGTGATGGTTATGGGGATGTCATCCCACCAAACAAGGCGAGGGGTAGTCCTGGTCTACTCCAATCGACCCCCGGACTTATGCTGCACTCTCTAGCTTTATAGATGTCGCCTCGGCGATCTTCGACTCTGCTAATGAAGGGAAGGGTTACTTGGCTCCGGAGACTTATGGTCTACTGTTGGATATATGTGAGATAATTAGATCACTGTAGTTTGGTAGAGCTAATCCATAGATAGGGAGAGTCGTCTTGAGGAAGGCCGAAAGTTCCGAGAAGGAGCACATTGCTGATAGAACCTTGAAGCGTTACAATGATAACTACTCCATCTAATATACCCTGGGCTTCCGAGGCGACAGCAGCCAGAGCCCAAGCCCACAGTCCCCTCTACTTAGACGCAAGGGATTCATCGATTTGTGGGGAATGGACGTCTTGGACGATCCAGCTTCGTTGCGTCCTCGCATAAACTCTGGTCTTCGAAAATTCCAGCCAACGATATGGAAACAGCTTGGTGATGTCCTTGTGGGTGTTTCCCAAGGCACCTGTCAGCTACGAGGTATACTCCAAGACTTATCTAAACGCAACTAAAAGCGGTTTGAAGGAGTTGACAGGAACCCAAGCTCCTGCAACTCTGATAGATCATGTAACTGGCTGGCTATAATTGGACTCAACCTTATGGTGCCCTCTTGGCTGCAAACATGGTCGCAACCACCCATAACAGCGCCACCGGAACCAATCCATTATGAGCCAAGTGACGACAGCGATGAGGACTCGAAGCATTCAAGAAAGCAAAAGTGGAGTTAGAAGATTTAGAAAAGTCCTACTATAGGCAATTGGCAGATGCCAAGAGAGCCAACGACCTTGAGTACGCTAGAACTCAGCAGCAAATGAATCTGGACACGCACGAAGCATGGAGAGAAGCCGAGAATTCATGGGGACCATCGGACAAGACAGGAACAATATTATTGAACGCCACTACTACAGCTGAAGGATTACCCGGGCTTGGCGAATGGGTTCCTGTGTGGAGAGGTGATATCTGGTTGAGGGTACTTGGGTCATCGTGGAAGCTTATGGGACCATCTAAGGTGGTATGAGTCGGGTGACAGAGAGTGAGAAGGAAGTTAATGAGTTGTAATAGAAGAAGCGAAGATAGAGGTAATAGTGGGCTGCTAGAAGTCGGCGTTCGTTTCGCACTTAAAATATTGATGAGGTATACCGAGGGAAAAGAAGGAAGCAGTTGTTGTAGTGCATCAGAGGAAGAATACATTTCACAAATGACCTGTGATGTAGCGGTGGCTGCGCTTGCACATACATCATAGATTAGCTTGCTTGCGATGATGATGAGAAGTGAAGTTGGGCTGTTACTAAAGCGATAGAAGGCAAGTGAGTGAGAGAAAATGTGGCATAGCAAAACATCACTCTCAGCCCGTGAGATAACTTTGACTGATGATATAAGGTATAACTAAAAGTAAATAATAAAATAAATTATAACAATTATTCGAATAATTTGTTGGTTATTGGGCTAATTCGTATTGATATTGCGTCGAAGTTGAGCGTCGATGGTTTTCAGTTAGGCGTGTATCTTTATAGTGGGGTGTCTCGCAATTGGGTACATCAATGGATGTCATGCAGCGGGAAAGCCCCGCATCAAAAGATTAAGGCTTAACACGCCAACGCGACTTCCCTACGCGTCGGAAGCGCCAGCTCTTTACATCTTAGCCCTTTGTCCAAGACCCAGAATACCACTTGCATTGAAGATATACGATCACGAGTCCAACTCAGTTTCCTACCTGTGTTGCGATTGACGGGTTTTAAATCTATACAATGTCGGGCGATAGTTCTGCTGAAGATGTCGCTTCCGCCACCCCATCTTCAATCTCCGCCAAGCGCAAGCGCCGAGACACAGCCATGACACAACGTTCGAATCGCCGGCAGAGAACAATCGACTCAGAGAACTCAGAGAATGATGATAATAGTGATGGATCTTCCGAACAGATTCAAAGTGGCGGACGTGGAGGTGGGCTGGATGCACCCGACGACGATAGTGGAGACAACAGCGGCGAAGACTACTACGATCCCGACCAGCCACTCGAGGAGCGGCGCAAGGTCCAAAGGGGACTTCGAGGTCTTCTTAAAGATGTCATAGAGAAAAGAGAGGAATACTTACAAGGCGACTCTCGTGGCCTGAAGGAAACGATTGAGAAGGCAAACTCGATGTTGAAGCAAGTCAAGCGACCGGGAGAAGCCGCGTCGGATTCGCGGCTTCTTGTGAGCACGACGGATCTTTCATATCAGAGAACGCTGCGTCTGACACACGGAACTCTGGCGCAAGGTGTGAATGTGGACGACTTTGTGTCAAGATGCATCGTCTATATGCGGCAGGGCAGGGGTATTGAGGATGATGATGCTCCAGAACTTTCCAGTACCCAAAGGCAGCGGAGAACTGCCAATTCACGAGACCCCGGCGAGGATGACGAAGATATTGGAGATGAGGGAGATATGATGAACTGGTCCCACCTGGGCCGCTTTGCCGTCCTCCCTAACATTCGACGGCCTGCTCTGCCGGGCTTTTTACTTGGGCCGTTGTCAGTGGAAAAGAAAGCAAGGAGGATAACCAAGCGAAGCGCCCCTCTAAGGCCAAACGATTTGAGAGAGACTCGTCCAGAGGTCCTTGATGTGGCTAGTCTTGCCAAGAAAGAAAATGATTTGACCGCCATTTGCGGACAAATCCTACAACAACTGGTCAAGACTCAGTCCGAGGTGCAGCAGACTGTGGTAGATCTCATTGATGACGATATGCCAGACGACCAAAAAATCAATATTATGCATCAGCATGGTCTTCGGAGCACGGGGGGGATAGATCTATTGCGATTCGTGGTTAACCCAAGGTCGTTTGGGCAAACTGTCGAAAATATCTTCTATGTCAGCTTCCTCATTCGTGATGGTAGAGTTAGCATTGAGTATGACGATAACGATCTCCCTAGTCTTGGTAAGTTATGTTCTGCTATATCATTGATCTTTCTCAAAGTTTGACCTCGTAGGGTAAATAATTAACTCTTTACTTAGCACCCGTCATGAGAGAGACCGATGAGGAGCCTAGCCTTCGTCAAGGCGGCTCAAAGCATCAAGCAATTCTTTCAATGGATATGGCGACCTGGGAGGATATTGTAGAAACTTTAGAACTGGCGGAGCCTCTGATAAAACATAGAGTTGAGTCGACTCTTGATAATCCTGGAGCGAAGGGCTGGTATAGCTAAAATGTATTTTTGTACTGAAAACAACTAATGATCGATACCCGGTAACTTGTTGGCGTTAATGGATTCAATCTCTTCCAAGTTAATGACCTACGGCTGCTGCGTCGTTGCAGTATCCCCTTGGCTCGGAATTGTCTATATTTGTTACAGTTAAGTGATGGTACACTCGTCGTCGTTTTGGTCTTTGCCCCCCCTACCTATTTTACTACGTTTTATTTTACACCTGACTATTCCCATCCTATCCATGACATATGGCACGATGTCTGTCTGGTGCCCATAGCACCGACCTAGACACCTGGCCCCTTGCATGATGTGATGTGTGGTTAGTAGCAAGGCCATTCTTTGTTCCTACATGCTCTTTGTTTCCAAAATAATAACAACCCGTTTCTACCTGACTATTTTTGGGAGTATTCGCTTTACCCCTTTAAGCAGAAAAGGAACATGATACTTCCTCATCTCCCTTCCGAGATAAATATCATCTGGCTACGTTCAAAAGTCACTGCCACATCCCGCGCATCACACGACGAAGTCCGAAATCAACAGAGTGCGCAATCACAAAACAGCATTATCACGACCCAGAGACGAAATAATTTGGGAAAATTCAATTGAGACAAAAACAAACAAGATTCAAGGAGGTGCTTGAAAATGGACACATCGGCGGACCAACCAGCGGGGAACAGCATGACAGACATGGCAGAATTGGACGAGATGCTGGAGCCCCCACAGCGTGAGAGTGTCGATGAGATGTTTCTGAGATTATTGAAATTGGTAGATTTGCTGTATAACGAGGCTTCCCCGGTTGAAGGAAATGAAGGTATGGTCGATTTTGCTCTCCAAACCGGAAATGCAATTGTGCCACTGGTGCGGACGCTCCGTGAACAATTCGATGAGCAGAAAGCCCGAATTACTAAACAGGACACTGCCATTGGCAAACTCGGAGATGCGCTGGCCCAGAAAGAAATCGAACTGAAAATTGCTTACGCGAAGATGGAGGAAGCTGCGAAGAGCAATAGCAGCCAGGAGTCAAGTGAGGATGAAGAGCAACATGCGCTCAACAATCTTACCCTCTCGACATGGATCGCAGATCAAGCGGTCTATAAAGAAAATGTTGATAACATCACTCGCGACGCATTCCAGTATGGACGGTTTGAGCCAGACACCGGAAATCCCAACAATCTCATAAATAATTCCGAAAATAATCAATCGCGGCGGCCGAGCTTTGAGGCGGGGATGGAGGCCGAAAACCAACCATCACCAGATTCTTCCGAGGCCAGCCAGCCAGCCATTAATCAATTTGGGCGTACATCGTCTGAAGAGTCACTCCCACAACAGGCATACGATATGACCTTCCCCTCCAGCCGTGGAACTTTTATACGACCTGGCCCCGTTTACGAAAGAATATTGGCTCCTCGCACTAAACCTATGTCAACCCAAAAGATTTCTTCTGGTGGACTTCTCACCGCAGAGGAGGGAGATACGACACTGTGCAGCCAAGGATCCAACGATGTTATAGCCGACAAAAAAGGCTCTAGTCAAAACCCTGCAACTCCCTGGGCTGAGAACGACTCGGCCCATGGCTTTTTTGCCTATATACAAGGGCTACAATCAACTGGTCCACAACCACATGAGTCCACGCCGAAGTTTCTACAATCACGGAAATATGGAAAATTTATCATTTTGGACGTTCTTGAGTGGTCTTTATACACCTTATTGAGAGCCGGAGGGGATTTGATTTCGGGACAGCTCCTTGCATGGTGGCATCTTCTACTATTCTTGATAACCACTGTCCTGCATTTGTTCGCATCCGGAACATGTTCACTAGATCCCTTCCATCTGCCTAAGCCTCTTGTTTTCATTGTCCCTAGGCTCTCATGGTGTATTATTGCGACTCAAGTTATGTTTTTTACTTGTCTCATGTCTTTCTTGGCTTGGAGACGGGAACTCGATCTTCTTCTTCAGGCCAATGGGTTAAGCAGAAGGTACATGCTTGACTACATCTATGAGGAGAGCCGCTTGATTCTTTTCATTGGGATTGATAAGGGAGTGTTTCGGCTGGGGACATCTGAGCCGGAAAACTTCTGGAGAAGCGGAAATGACACCATGAACGAAAGGATCATTGGTCTGACACAATAAAGTGATTACCAACTCCTGACCAGGCATGCTCCCACAAGTTAGCGAATGCTGTGTCCCGGTAGAAAAGCTCGAGTCCAGGAGGTGTGGAGATTATAAGGCTGAAAAATAGACTGCCTAGGAAGTGAACAGTCCTAAATTATTGCCCGTTGTTGGCAACGGATTGTACCCATGATGATCCTGCGGATACCCGCCGGTTATTTCAATGTTGTGAAGATGATCAGTTAGTACCTGTATTTCCAAATAACGAATACGTTCCTTAAAGTCTCAATAGAGAGAGATTAATACTCATAAGATACAACCGGCAATAAGGTAAGACTCGCACGGGTATCGGATTACTTCTAGGATAATCAGGATAATCGGGTATCCGTTCAACTGGGTCCAGATACCGTGCCTCGGTGGAGAGGTCGATGGACCCGCTGCGGAGTGGTAAGTCGGCCGAAGCCGAAGCGAATGGCAGCTTCAGCCTGCCAGAACCGGATCCATGGCCGGTCTAATCCCTCGCCGCGAAAGCAGCAAAAGTACGGAGTAGGTGGTTCTTATTCTGTTGATGTCATGGATCCCTAACCGTTGGAGCCACAGTTCCAGGCCCCTGGTTCTGCAGAGCAGTTGTATTCTTTGGAGAACAGCCCCTCCCTCGAGTCAAGGCACTAACAACCCGTAATTATTGTGAGCCCACCTTCGCCGCCATACCATGGGAATTCCACCACACAGTAATTAGTGAGGTTAAATCCATGCATAATGGTGGCGCACCATCTTAGGCGAAGCTCGAGCCTGGTCAGGTTTCTCTCCAATGCTGGAAGGCGGCCGCTGACCTCAATTACAAAGCTTCGGATAGCATCAGCACCTCCGCCACACACCTTAGCGTCGCATCCGCTGATTTCGTCGTCTCCGGCCAACTTTTGCGTCATCGACCGTCGCAACTCAGGCCAGGTCTGTCTTCGCAAGTATTTATACTCTGGCTCGGTATCGTCCATCTCATACCGTCCCAATCTCAAGTCGCAACCACTTTCTCGAGGTTTTATCTGCACACCCGCCAGATCAGCTGCCATGTCTTCGAAACTCATTCCCTCTAACCCGGCCGATGTGATGGTCATCCGCAATGTCACGCCTAACATTGTGACATTCTCCGTGCCTTTTGCTCGGTTCGGGACAGCCAAGATTGGTGGTCGTGGAACTCTTGGTAAGAGGGAGCAGTCGTCTCTTGAAGAGACATACTCATCGTTGTCGCATCCGGGAACTGACACGTGATCGCATAGTGAAACTGAGTTCTGGGAATCTGGCTGTCTTCTCGCCCGTGGCGCTCACCGAGGCAGCCAAAGCAAAGGTTGCCGAACTGGGCGGCAATCTTGCCTATATCGTCGCATTGGATTACGAGCATCACATTTTTATTTCAGAGTGGGCCAAGCAGTATCCAGGAGTCAAGATCATTGGGCCTGAAGGGCTCCCTGAGAAGCGAGCCGGGCAAGACGACCCAAAGATCGGAAAGGAGGAATTCGCTGTGGTTTTCAAGAAGGAAAATAAGCGCGACATCAAGATTGGCGACGAGTTTGATGCCGACTTTGACTACGAGTACGTGGATGGCCACGCAAACCGAGAGATTGTTTTCCTCTACAAGCCCGAGAAGGTCGTCATCGAGGCTGATCTGCTCTTCAACATGCCAGCCAACGAGCAGTATAGCAAGGTGCCAGATGCGGAGAAGAAGGAGGGGTTTCTGGGCAAGTTGTTCGAGGGCCTGCAGAACCCACACGGCGATAATAAGTGGATGAAGAGGTTCAATTGGCACGTGGCGGCCAAGGACCGCGCCAGCTTCAATGAGAGTGTGAAGGCCATCGGCGGGTGGGAGTTTGTGAAGCTAATCCCATGCCACGGAGATGTGGTGGAGGAAAACGCGAAGGAGATGTTCAGACAAGTCTTTGAGTGGCATCTGAGGGCATGATGGACAGTGGATTAGTTTGATGCCAGGCCATTTATTAGCGGGTTGACGCGGCTGGGGGGATGTGTGACCAGATATATGAATTTCGACTGGTAGATATAGGTGGGGTTGGTTTTGGAGCTGATGAAAGTCGTGAATTTGTTTCATAGAAGCTTAATTGATACCATGGAAGTTTGCTGTGTTTGACATTGCTGGATGACCCCTGCACTTAGAAAGTAGATGCATGTGGCTGGAGCTTGCTGAATTTTGTGGCCGTGCATCATGTGGGTGGTGGGGCTGGGCAACTTGCGCTTAGGTATCTCGCAGCCTTTCTGCTGCACCGCTATGATAACATACCTACATAAGGTAGCTGGGTGGACTTGCGTATCCTTCCAATCTGCGACCCCGACAACAACTAGGCCAACCCCCCCTCGAATGGCCTCCGTATAGGGCGCTCATAATGACTCGAGATAAAAATGGCTGATTACGGGAAGTTGGACCCGTTTTCCTTTGCAGGCTCTAAGGATGTCGACCATCCGCTGAGCATTCGAATGTAAGAATACACCTACCCACCGATGGCGGGCTCGTTGGTTCTGACAAGCTGGCATTAGAATGAATCTAGAGGGAGATGAACCACCTATAAGAATGTCCACGCTCTTTGAGCGCCCAGATCTCCGTCATGTTGGATCAAATACAAGGTGCGCAAACATAGCCCCAGTCGCCTCGCCGCTTGATCTTAACATGCGCCAGCCCGCATTCCGACCTCTTTGTCACAGTCCAGGTCTGGGCCGGGTCCAAGCCGCTATCGGTTCCTATTCAAACAGCATATAAGTCGTTCAGGGCAGAAAGAAAGTATGCAAATCACGACTCCTCCAATCTCCTAGTTTTGCGCTGACCATGCCGCCCAAACCAGGTGGAACGAATGGCTCGAGCTCCCTCTCACGTACAAAAACTTGCCTGCCGACTCTTGTCTCGCGATTACTATATGGGATCTTTCTCCCAGCGGTGGAAAGGATGCATCCGGTCATGCCATACCGTTTGGAGGGACCACATTAGCCCTGTTCGACCAAGACAACCACGTGCAGAAGGGAAGACAGAAATGTGTGGTGTATCGCCACAAAAAGGCTGACGGCATGGTTAAAACCACAACTCCTGCTCAAATCTCAACTAAGAAGAGGGGGAATAAGAGTTGGGAGACTCAACTGGATAAAGAAGCTGAGGAGCTCGATCGGATGGAGAAGCTTTTCAAGAAGCATGAGATGGGCGAGCTGCCTAGGGTGGACTGGCTTGATCAGATTGTTTTCCGAAATTTTGAGAAGCAAGGTCTCCAGGCTGCAAAGTCCTCGATGAAGATGCGCGAGAGGCGGCGCGCTCTGGATGCCACGCAACAGGGCACTGCCGACGAGAAGCCAGACGAAGAGGACCATGGGCGTGCAGGGCCTTCGATGTTCTTCTTGAATGTAGAGCTTCCCCGGTTTGACTTTCCCGTGGTCTTTGCGGATCACGAATACGACCCACCGCCAGTATCCTCATTTCGGTCGCTTTCTGCCTCGCAGGCCAATCTAGCCCAACGGCCTCAAGTACATTTTGGCCCTGGAATCAACGGACTCCAAGATGGCTCGGAAGGTCTAGGTGGCCAGCTGATCAAAGTTTGGGACCCTGAGGCTGGCCAGAAGGACAATCCTGCTGAAGCGAAGCACAGGCGACTCTTCCGCAGTTCGCATAGGCACGGCATCCTTGACAAAGATTTGAAACCAAATGCTAAAGTCCGGGACGAGTTGAACCACATCATGGCCTACTCGCCAACACATGTTCTGTCTCCCGAAGAGGCAGATCTTGTGTGGAAATTCCGCTACCATTTGACGCGGGACAAGCGTGCATTGACGAAATTTGTCAAGTCAGTGAATTGGGCTGACCAGAGCGAATCGAAACAAGCTATCCAGGTCCTTGGCCGCTGGACTGCAATTGATATTGATGATGCACTGGAGCTGCTTGGACCTTCGTTCGATAACCCCGGGGTCCGTTCGTATGCTGTCGACCGCCTCCGAAAGGCAGACGACCAAGAACTGCTTCTATACCTTCTTCAGCTTGTACAAGCTCTCAAATACGAGCATATTTCGGCAGAATCAGCACAAGACAGCACTCAGGACTCATCCCTCGCCGGATTTCTGATTCAGCGAGCGGCTTCTAACTTCATGCTGGGAAACTACTTCCATTGGTATCTGATGGTTGAATGTGACGACGCCAGCCCTTTACAAGGGTCAGACAATAGAAATATATACCGCAAGGTAGCCTATGAGTTCATGGTGGAGCTCGTCGCAAAGCCAGATGGAGTTGAGCAGCGCAAGATTCTCCTGAGACAGGCAGAAGTCATAACAATACTTTCAAAAATAGCAGGGGATGTGAAAACATCGTCGGAAACCATCGCCAAGAAAACGGACCGAGTGAAGCACTTTCTTGGGGATCCAAAAAATGAGCTTGTCACAATTGACCCGCCGTTGCCCATGCCGCTGGACCCGTCTGTCAAAACCACAGGTATCATCCCAGACCAGGTCACGGTGTTCAAATCGTCGCTGAACCCCATCAAATGCTCGTTCAAGACAACGACTGGAACTCCATATTCTATCATTTTTAAACTTGGTGATGACTTGCGACAAGATCAACTTGTCATCCAAATTGTTACGCTCATGGACCAGCTCCTCCAGAAAGAGAACCTGGATCTGAAATTATCCCCTTACAAGATTCTGGCAACAAGCACGTCTGCAGGTGCTTCCCAGTTCGTGCAGTCGCAGAGTTTGTCCAGCATCGTGGCTCGTTTCAAGACCAATCCAGCCTTGGCCTATCTCAGACACCACAATCCAGATGATAGGCAACCACTAGGCGTAAGACAAGAAACGCTCGATACCTATATTAGATCATGCGCAGGCTACTGTGTCATCACATACATTTTAGGAGTGGGTGATCGTCACCTGGACAATCTCCTTCTTGCTCCTGATGGGCATTTCTTCCACGCAGATTTTGGGTACATTTTAGGTCGCGACCCTAAGCCATTTGCTCCTGTAATGAAGCTGTCGAAGGAGATGGTTGATTGCATGGGTGGCGTTCAGTCAGACGAGTACCAGCAGTTTAAACAGTACTGCTTCTTAGCGTACACGGCGCTTCGCAAATCCTCTAATCTTATTTTGAACCTATTCAGCCTGATGGTTGATGCCAACATCCCAGATATCAGGCTCGAACCTGACAAGGCAGTTCTTAAAGTGAGAGAGCGCTTTCATCTTGAGATGACCGAGGAGGAGGCCATATTGTATTTTGGTAGGGTTATTGAGGATACATTGACTGCTTTTGCCCCGGTGGTCATTGATAAGTTGCACGAATGGGCGCAGGCATTTAGAGCTTAATTAAAATATAGCGTTTGATCACTCGCTTCTGTTGACCGTGGTGACTTCCGACATGTTTCTTCTCCAGTGCTTTGCTAACTCACAAGTCGACGAGTATCTCTTGTCCAAGTATCATTTCCAACGAGTCTATTTCCTGGGCTATATGGTTCTATAATCTTACAATTCTTAGTGTCTCAATGAGCCAATGTCGTACTTTTACCATTGTGATATTGGGACTATGTATTTCCTGTCCCCCAGGGATTTTATCCTATCATTGCTAAGAGAATTCGTGATATCTACCGTTCACTATAATACTACAACAGATGACTCTGGAAATAAACGAAATGCATTATCCGACGCTCAGGTCTCGCCAAAGACGAAAACGCCCTTGCCTTTTCTGAATCCCTGGAGTCCTCCTTGTACGGCATCGCGAAGGGTGGACTCCTCGGTGTCCCAATCCCACTTGACTTCGTCCACAGGTACATCCTGGAACTTTCCAGCGCGGATCAGGCCTAGAATATCATTAATCATATGTTTTCTGCCCTCGACATCCTTTTCATTCCACTTGGACAGCCAGAAGCCAAGGAACCGAATATCTTTGAAGATCAAGAGACCAACAGGCAGAGCAACAGGCTGCTTGGCCATGCCGCCGTACGTGACCATGGTAGCGCCGTCGCCAAGGGAGCGGGCGATGGCAGTCGCGGACTTGCCACCGACGCAGTTGAGGCCGAGGCCGATCTGCTCGCGGCCCTTCCGGGTGATCTCGGCCAGCCGGTCCCTCCACTCGCGCGACATGAACTGCGACTCGGTCACGACGACGTCGGCGCCCAGGCCCTCGAGCTCCCGCCTCAGCGCGGCCGTGGCCTCCTCGGTCTCGCGCTCGCGGATGACGTTGATGCTGCGCAGGCCCCAGAGCTTGCCGAACTGGATCGCGGCGCGGCCGACGCCCGAGTTGGCGCCGTTCTGGATGAACCACTGCCCGCTGCCGACCTCGAGGGGCCGCATGCCCAGGCCGGCCTTGACGCCGGCGTTGGGGCCGTAGTGGCGCAGGATGCGGTACGCCGTGCACGGGTTGACGCTGACGGTGGCGACCTGCAGCGGGGAGAGGCCGTCCTTCTCGACCTTGATGAACTTTGAGGCCTCTGCCACTGCGTGTGTCCTCCAGGTGCCGAACTGTGAGATGGCGGGGATGACCCAGTCGCCCTTGGCGAAGTCGGGCGAGGAGGAGGAGAGGACCTCGAAGACACCCTCGTTTCCGGGGGTGGCTGATGGTTCGGGGGTTCCAATGAGAGAGGTGAAGGGTGGTTTGGCGCCGTAGGTGCCCTGGACGGTGTTGATATCTGCCGGGTTGATGGGGGCTGCGAGGGAGCGGACGAGGACTGAGGAAGACGGGAGGCTGGGCGAGATGGAGTGAGAGTGAAGGCTATAATCAGGGTCAGCATTGAACGTCATGGAAAGAATGAAGCTTGCGAGCGTCAATTTGGATCCTGGTCCTTACCTCAAAACATCGGCGGGCTCGCCTGGCTTGGAGAAAACCAGGGCTTTGGCCTGGGTGTAGCCGTACGGACCAGATTTGCGCCGAACGGCGAGGGATGGGACACCCAACGCCCTTGCGACGGGGCGGCCGAGGCCGGCAGCTAGAAGTCTCCGTGAGCTCGCCATGGTGAAATTGGCGAAGTCGCAGAGCAATTGAACCTGGTGGGATGCAAGGAAAAGTAGATGGGGTTGGCTTGCGGTGAGGTCTCAAGCTCGGCTCGGCAGCACGGGTATTATCGCGGGGCGTGGGGCTCTATCTGCCGCCCACAAGGCAGCTAAAGCAGACGGTAGCTCATCATGACGTGCACTAACCGCCCGCACTGATATTCAATGGTTTGCGCTCTATTTGGAAACATGGCGTCATTGGCCTCGATCAATCCTTTCTTGATTCCTACATGATTGAACCCGAGTCTATTTACCCCGTGCGACGCTTATTTATTGTATACACAAGTGCTTGAAGGTACTCCGACCGTGTAAATTATCGCTCCCACCCAATAAGCAGCCACCTGTGGCTCTATCAAGGTGTCACTGCTTGAGGGCATGGAGATATGCAGCCACATGCGCCGCAAATATGCCATCGGCTACCAGCTGGTCTGCAGATTCGACTATCCATGTCTGGCAGTCTCTCTGTGTAATGGCCTTCCCCGACCGGACCTACGTAGAATAATTAGCCCAACAATATGAAGAGTTGGGAAGGAGAGAGAGTCTTACAGCATCGTCAACTGTATTCATTGATTTCCCGGGAGCTGGGATCTTGTATACGCTATCCTCGAAGCCACATACGGGTTTGCTTTCTATCACCGGTACGCCGTCGTTGAACATTTTGTGTGAATCGAAGCACTTGCTATCAACCCATTGGAGGGGTATTCTTTTTGATGGAATGTCGACAGTGTCGCGCAAATCATGGCTACGCTTCGATTCGAGCTGGAACCCATTTCTCACATCACCCGTTGCGTGAACCTTGACACCAATTTCAGGATCGGTATGCGAGCGCACAAAGTACGCCCAATGATCTTTGAATGGATAGCCATTGTATACGGCTAGCTCGATCAAATAGGCACCCTGCGGCCCGGATTGGGGAACTGGTGGTGGCTTCGGCAGGCGGATGTGGAGCTGACTGAAGGCGGGTGGAGGAGGAACTGGAGGAGGTGCAGGGAAATGAGACATGGCGGGGAAGGTAAGAAGACGGGTGGCACTGAAATAGGTTCCGGTGTTTTAATATCATTAAAAGAGGAAGATAAGCCTGGCTGAAGACCGCGCGTTTGCCTCAGACCAACAGCTAGACCTTGTTATTCAGGGAGTGGACTTCGGGCAACTGCCGCTCGAGAATGTACACTCAAGAGTCAAGATGCTGTGCCGAAGGATCGCCAGGTACTTGCCCCGCGGTCTTGGTGGCTGCCTCTGCTCCTATTTTAGCACAAGTCACATTGCATAATATCGTTCCTTTTCTCAGCCCCAGCCCGGATGAGACAGATGATCGATAATGGCACATGCATATTGCTCTTTTAGCGACCGAATATCTTCACAGATGTCACCTGGGCTGAGACTATTTCTGCTCCGTGCGTGCTGACGAGTTGTTGGCAGGAGACTCTGCAGATGGAAATTAAACAGTCCTACGTTACGTTTGTGCTAATTATGGGCATAGTGTACTTCGGCACTGGATGCGCGGCTTGAAGAAGGAAGAGGATGCACAGCCACGGCCCACGGTAATGCAGCGATGTCAGGTCTCTTGGCGCGACACTTATCAGTAGAGGCGAACGAGCTAGGATGTTATTTGCGGCTCTCTACCTAATGCGCGATGGCATTTGAGTTCACGGACCTGTCGCGTAATGCACACGGGGTCCATGGAGCATGGAGGTCTTAGTAAGATGCTGCATAGGAGACTGGAGACTAAAGCTTGGGGACGGACTGCTCGGCCCGGGCAAGTGACACGCAGCTTGTCAGAGCCAAGGCCAATGAGCGTCCCGTGCCTTGTTCCAGCCTCAAGAAGCTGTAACCCGGCGACTTGCCTGCCTGAGCATGACACGGCGCGCGTTCTCAGGTCTGGATGGCTGCCCGAGCAGATGGATGCTCCGGCAGGTGCACACCAGGCTGGACCTGCTGCTTGCTTATTATTAGTGCAGGCTGGGCATGGACACAACGTGTGTGGTGGCACCCGGCTGGACCCTGAAATATCCATGTACTAATTCGTACTGTCCACGTACTAATTCGTGCTAGGTACGAGCCTTTACAGCCCAACTCAGGGGGAACCTTGTCTCGGCCCTTTCAAGCCCCAACCCCGTCTCCACTGCCAGTTTGTTGTTTCTCTCTCCAACCTCAAAGGACAAATGCACCAGGCTCTTCATCTCGGAACGAATTGAGATGCCATCGCAGTGTCATTGATTCTGGTATGACATGAGCCGCCGCCCCTCACTCACCTCTCCCCAATCATACCTACGCTTCCATCATCATCCCATTGTAGACATCCGTCGTCCAGCCTGCCACAGCCCTCACGCACGCGCAGCACAAATTATTAATCCTTCTGCAGAGGCTGAGCTTTGGCCCCTTCTCCTCCGCGCGGCAGCCGTGCTACCATATCCCGACCTGCCAAGGCGTGCCATTGGTCATCACCCCAGTCTAGCATTCAACCAGGATCATTCATAATCCATATCCATCAAAGAATCACCACGCTCAAGAGCAAAACACCCCCGAGTACCTAAAGAGGTACTACCTGGCGAGCCTACCTCCCTAAGAATACGCACCAGTTTACTTTAGGCCGCCTGCCTCCACGCCACCACCATCCCTGGCTGGGACCTACTGGGCCCTCCCGCAAGCCATTCGACCGTTGTATTCAGGTCCAAGCTCCAGTTTTCCATTGTCTGGCCACTATCCATTCTCCTTTCCCTCCGCACTCCATGCTCTTTTCTACCCTGGCGGGGAGAATCAATATCATCAGCATTGAACGCGTCTGAACATTGCCAACCCGAAATTGAATTCTCAATTTGTTACCTTCACTCTACCCGACCCAGTGGAACCCCTGAATGAGGCCAGGACCGCGCTGCTCCCCTGACGACAACTCTTCAACTCTCCATATTCCTGGACTTTTACGCAATCCAGACAATCACCATGCCGTCAACTGTTGCCGCCAATGCGACGAGTAGCTCGCGCTTTGAGCTCCCTGCGCTGAACCTCAACTTTGGTAGTATCACCGACGGAACCGACATTCCACCACCCCCCGACTCCCCTGTCGAGAAAGAGAAGCCAGTCCTGCCCGAGACACCGAAAAAGAAAGCTGTTGCCGAGACCGCCGCCAAAAATGAAGAGGATAAGACGGTAAAGAAGCCAGAGGAAACGCCCAAGGCAGCAAATGGTAATTCTGCCGGAACCAAGAGACCCGCAGATGCGCCCCCAAGCCCGTCGTCGGCATCCTACCGCGCGGGCAGCATCCGTCGGATGTTTAGTAGGACAAAGTTGAATAACAGTTATGCAGAGGGTCACTTGGCATCCAACGGCGGTGTTGCTCCTTCTATCGACAGCAGCCGGCCAGCAAGCCGAAGTGGCAATTCTATCCTGGACGACCGAAAGTCGAAGCGCGCCAGCGGATGGTTCAAGAGACTGAGGGGAGGAGAATCCAAGCGAAGCAGCTTGGTGTTGTCTCAAGAATCAACGGCGTCTACGACAACAATCCCGACTACGAACAAGCAATCAGGCCCACCCCCACCCATGATTCCTGAACTTAAAGAGTTCAACAAGGACGAGGGTAGCCTCGGCAACGACCTATTCAAGAACATCAATTAATACCTCGAGACCGAACGAAGGTCTTTTTCTTTCTTTTCCCACGCACCGACCAATACGAGACGGACGACTCCTGTATATTCAAGAATCCCGTCCAGCTTTTCTTTGCTTACCTTTTTTTATGTTTGAATGAGCGATGAAGAGGTTATTACCACTGAACTGCGATCGGGGTTAGCATCCCCTCTTTATTATTATTATTATCAACTCATTGTCTTTTTTTTGTTCGAAGGAACGTACCTGAACGATGTCTTATATGTCATTGGCGAGTCCTATATAAGGAGAGGGTGGATAGAAGGGGAAGGGAGGGCTGGAGGGGCAAGACCGAGATACCCAGCCCCGTTCAGGCTTCAATTATCAGGCATGTGAGATATGCCTTCAGCTCTTGCGGCAGCGTGTTTGGATAATATCGACAGCACCAGTCCTTTGTCAGCATTTGCTTTTTTGAATAATTACTCAATAGTATTCTTACAGCCCAAAAATGGGACTGTGCCGGGTTGGGAAGGGGGCACAGGAAGGATTGGCATCAGATCGAGAATATCCTTAATTTTTCGCTTTTCGCGCATCCTTCCTTACCTGTCCATTCAAACGAACTTCAAGTGACATACTTAATTTCACCACCAAGGAGGCTGTTGAAGTGGCGAAAGAGTGATGGCCGTTTCGGTCAGAGCCAGCTTTCGACAAGTATGGCTTAGCTTCTTAACTTAATTCTAGGCAGGAATAGAAAAGGCATATTCCCTTAGGACAGGTATCGATACTAATCCAAGGAGGAGCTTTATACATTATACTTGCAGGCCGTTGTCCCTCAGATCACTCAATAACTTCTTTCCAGCCTCAACATAGCCGGCAAGAGAGGCCCCTGAGCCGGCTGGTGGCTCCATAAAGAACTCGGGAATCACTCTAGTTACGCCCCCTTTTGTGCATTCGAGAATAGTGCCATTTCCGAATTCCTCCTTGACTGCCAGCTGGTACATGACCTCGGCAATCTCTCGAGGCTCAGCCATCTCGTCAACTTGGCCCCTCAGGCCAGACTTGGTCGGGTCTTCCATCAGCATAGGTGTCTGTAACGAAACTCAATCAGCACAAACGGGGGCTCCGGAGAACGAGGGCTCGGCAAAACTTACCCGGACAGCACCAGGAGCAACACAGCCGGTGCGGATACCAACACTGTCCCTTAGAGCTCCGAGAGAGCGGACAAATCCGTGCAGGCCGTGCTTCGTGGCAAAGTAAAGAGGGGTGTTGATGCCGGATGTGTAGCCCGCGATGCTGCCGATGAAGACGATGCTCCCCTTCAGCTTTTTCTGGCTCCAGTGGCCGATGGCGAGCTGGCTCAGCCGGGTTGGGTGAGTCAGATTCACGTCAATGATAGCATAGTGGCCCAGGGCGTCGTCGGCGACGTCTCGAGACTGGGAGTTGGGGTTGGTGGCCGTCTTGGGAGACTCCCAGAAGTTAGACCACTGAGGCTCGAACAGACCTGCTCCCGGGACGACGATGTCAACGGAGGAGAAGCTCTCGACGGCCTTGGTCCAGAGCGCGCTCAGGTCAATCCACGAGGTGACGTCGGTCTTCTGAAAAATGAGAGATGGCTTGCCCCCGGTAGGCGGGTGGGGGAACTGTGCAAGGAGGTGCTCGACTTCGGGTCGGTATTGAAGATCACCAACGATGACAGAATAACCCTTTTCTAGGAGGATACGAACAAACTCCAGGTTGATCCCTGTATGAAAGGAGTGTAAGCATTTTCATTTCTCTTCAATTGTTGAAATGGTTGGGAATCCTACCTGAGCCACCTCCAGTGACCAGGGCAGCCTTTCCAGATCCCTCAGACATTTCTTTCCAGGTGATCTCCCTGCTTGAACGACGAGCGTAATTAGCTAGTTAAGAAATAGTAACCAGGTAGACGGAAAGCAATGTCAATTGCGGAGGAGGGCGGGCACTGGAGGCCGAAGGGAGGAGCCCCGGATATATACCAAGACTCCATAATGGACGGAGCTGGGAATCGGTGTTGGAAAACGGCCTCCATGGGGCGGCCAGAGGGAAAACGCTGGCCGTGGCCTATCCTCCCGGATCTGGATCAACGAGAGCTTGACTCATGTTGTCAGGGCGGGGTAGCCTCTTCGGCGTTTATGGACATGCGCATAACGTCGACCGATGTGAGCCTATACGGAATGGGGAAGCAAAAGCGCGAATTAGCCCATCTAATGGATTGAAGGGCACCTCTCAGGCTCACCGGACGCGGGCCCGGTTAGCACTCGGCCGCATCCGCGATGGCCATACCTATCTGGGAGAAATTACGAAAGTCCATACTGGGAGTCGCCAGAGGCGCACGATTGGAAGTATCTTGGTCGTCCCACTGAAGCGAGTAAGCCTCATCACCATGGATCGGCATACCACCGTCGACTTTGATACCTAAGCTAGGCGAGTAAAGGGGCCTCTCAAAGAGCGAGCCAATCACAGAGTGAATCTTTTCAAGCTGAGCGATATTGCCTGCTCGCACCGGGCCTCACAATCTATATATGCCCCATGTTGCATCTTCCTACGGGAGACAGGGGTCGGTGGAGGAAGGGAACCCTGTCCAGCACGCATGAGACCGCCCATCTGCGAGATAGATCACATTATATCATACCTACATGAGGGTATCGGATTCAAGTGGAGCTGCAGATCAATGCACCTGCAACCTTTGGAAGCAAACCCCTGTGTCCGAATCGCATACTTCCGGGATTGGAAGAAAGCCCTGCATCACGAATTTAGCTCCCCTTGCGTGTTGGAAACGTATCTACTCACCAAATAGAATCAGCAACTCATTTCACTCAAGAGAAAAAGAGTTCGGCGGCGGCAGGAATCCTATCGCAAGGGATTAACAGCACAAGTGTCCAAGGGTGACATCCGTTTCAACTTCTGTCGTCGTGTAGTTAGCGAAAATGCTCCTCGCACCACGCCTTGGAAGCAAAAGTAACAACTTCAGACAACGTAAGAATACAAGTTAAAATATATGAAATCCGTTGCTCATCAAGTTGGTCGTGGGGTGGGAAGTGGATGGTTTGCCGTAAGAGAAAATTGCTTGAGGACAAATGGCGGTGACACACAATGGCAACGGACAACTGAGATATAACAAGAGGGCTCCCCCCTCTTTCCCTTGGGAAATACTTCAAACAGTCATATTGCGCTACTTCATTGATTTTCGTTGCCTCTTTCATAGAGAATAGCGTGCCAACAGCAAAACAAGTACTACATCATGCGAATGCAGTTTAAAGAAGGTATGTAAAGAGAATCCAATTGCCAAACGGTGTGAGGAACAACTCCAACCCAAAACCTCTAGCCTACGTTTAGCGTAAATTGTAAGTTTCAAACTTCAAAATTCACAGATCTTTGCGTTTCAGCTAATGGTCAGCAATTCGAAGATTGGCTAAAATCTTTCTATAGCCATTCCTACATATGATCAGGACCATTTGTCAAATATCGCCTGAAAATACACCCATGTACGGAGTTATTACCTGAATATTGGAAGAGTGCCACCTTATCATCTTCCTCAAAGGTCACACTTGGCATTCAAGACCTCAACCTGTACATGATTCAGCTTGGACCTGAATTAGTCTGGAAACCGCAGAAAAGAAGGTCAGCCCTAGCTATGGGATGACGTCACCACGGGTCCGAGAGTAAATAAGCTTATCGGCTTATCTGCACGTGCCGGCGTGGGGTATCGGACTATCGAAATTCTGACAAACGCGATCTTTTTCGAAGGCGGGATTAGTGCAGCCCCCGACTTCCATTCCCAAAATACCATGAACCAATATTAATCACATGGGCTGCTCGACTCCATTGTACCAAACCAGCACAATGATCATATGTCGATCAATACGGTGATTTCTTTTCTCACCTCCCCGACACTGATGCCGTGGCCACCACAATGGCACGCTTCATCCCGCGCGACGCCTTCGGAATCCCCAACTCGATCCCCAAGACCTATTTTCTTGGCCACCACCAAGCTGGTGCGAATAAAATAAAGACGGTCCTCCCGACAATCTCCCTCGTCCTCGAATGCCGCGACTTTCGACTTCCTCTCTCCACGCACAACCCATACCTCGAGCGCTCCCTCGCCGGCCGTGAGCGCCTCGTCGTCTACACCAAGTCCGACCTCGGAAGCGACAGCCGGGGCGCCAAGAATGCCCTGAAGAGGGTGTACGGCGACAAGGCCGTCTTCTGGGACAAGAACAAGAAGTCCACCACGGATGCCCTCATCCGGAGGCTCAAGGAGTCCGCGCTGGCCGCCGACTCCCTCACGGGCCTGCGCGCCCTCGTCGTCGGCATGCCCAACGTCGGGAAGAGCACCCTCCTGAACACGCTGCGCAGCGCCGGCACGCAGGGGAGGAAGGCCAAAGCGTCCAAGACCGGGGACCAGGCCGGCGTGACGCGCAAGGTGGGCACGGCGGTGCGCATCATCGAGTCGGAGGACAAGCCCGGCGGCGTGGCCTCGGGCGTCTTCGTCGTCGACACGCCGGGCATCTTCCAGCCGTACGTCGACGACGGGGAGACGATGATGAAGGTGGCCCTGGCGCACGGCATCAAGAAGGGACTAATCCAGGATGAGATTCTCGTGGACTACTTGCTCTACCGCATGAACCTGGCTGATCCCGAGATGTACGGACGGTACTGTGAGCCGACCAATGATGTCAATGATTTCCTTGCTGCTGTCGCGACTAAGGAGGGACGCCTCCGACCGGGTGGGATACCTAATATACCAGAGGCGGCGGCCAGGGTTCTGTCTCAATGGAGAGATGGCAGGATGGGGAAGTTTGTGTTGGACGATCTCTCAGAGGACGCCATCCGTGCCCATGAACTGATGCTTGCAGAGCCACGATTGAGTATAAACCAAGCAAAAAAATTGCAGAAGGAAGAGCGCAAGAAAGAAAAATCTGGCGAATAGCGGACCACTGGATCATGTTGTATAATATTGTCTGCCATGTATCTATAGGTAACCTGTATAATAATAATTAACCAAGGCATCCATCTTATGACGGAATAAAACTTTGCTTAATTCATCAGCTAGTATCTGCGCTATATATCATACTGAAGATATAGATGGGTTGTTCGTCGGCCAACTTGCCGTGGCTGCAAGTTATTTGGCTGGGAGTAGTCTCTACCTGCCGTGGATTAGAGAAACAAAAGGGAAAAAGAAAATAGACAAGTCCAATAACACCCGTAGAATTGCGAGAGGGAAGAAAGAATATTTCCCTCGGTGGTTAACCATGAAACGCCTTATACGCCAAATCCTCTTCGACAGCCAGTCATGGGCCGTTTTGGTATCATACATCCTGGAGCATTTTATCTTAATCATATAACCGTCCTCGGGCTGAGCTACCCTCCAATTTTCTGATAACAACGTATTGTCTTATGTATACTGGTTTTGCCATTTAACCATATCTCGTGTCAGGATATCCATCATCTCAACGCAATTCAAGTCTCTGAACTCTTGTTCCGAGGTCATCAATGCACTGCGATCGACGACAATGCCTGATCTGTCTGTGTTGCCATTTGTCTGTGACTTTTCAGGAGATCTGTCGCCACTGCTAGAGTTGCTGCTGGAGCCAAGACTGCCTTCCGCAGCAAGATCTACCTGTGTTCTTGAGATGAAGTCCATGATGGCTGCAACGCGACGTCTCATATCAAGCATGCTCATTTTGTTCGCCATGGCTGACTTATGTTTCGAGGCTTTACTTTCATGTGAATGAGCCTTGGTGGCCTGGCTCGGTGTCTCGTCGGCATTCTTCTGAATGTCACGCGACATTGACCGTGCTGGAGAGTCGTCACGATCTCCATCCCGGTCTTTGGTATATTGATTTTTCCCTTTGCCCTTTTTGTGATTATTTCGAGCTCCCCGCTTATGCGAGCTCCCAACCGTCGCATGGCTCGTTGGTGGTGTGCCAGGGGTGGGCTGCGGTGCTGGGGGTGTTTCCTCGACCACTGGGATTTCTTCTTCTTTCTTCGGTTGAACTTTCGAGGTGGTTATTGTTGTTGGAATATCGTCGGATGGCTCCGAATCTTCTGAGTTTGTTAGTCTTTTTCGTCTCTCATTGATGATGTCCTTTTGCAAATTTTTACCTTCGGCACGTCGTCGCTCGGCGCGTCCTTTTCGTTTGCTGGCCGCCTCCAGACGCTGTCGTTCTTTTTCATCTTTATCCGAGCGCTCCTTCTGGTTTCTGACAACTCTAGGCTTTTTGGTGCCATTTCGTAACTGTCCCTCATCGTCCGAAGGTTCGATGGTGGGTTCCTCGGCGGGCTCGGGGATAGGAGACTCTGATTTAGAGCCTGTTCGTTGTCGCTTTACGCTTGGGGCGTGCCTAAAGGCGCGTTAGCATCTGCAGACGCAAACATTTTTTTTACCAGAATCCTACTCTTCGCTGTCGCTCCGGCCTCTCTTCGTTCGCCGTAATGAAGCATCTTCGCTGTCAAGAGGATTCTCCTCCTTGCTCGCCTCAATCGCCCGGCGTAGTTGCTCATCGTCATATGCAGCATCGCGACTGTTCATAGTGGACCTGCGCTTTGAATTCTGCGACGCGGAATTGGGGCGTAAAGTTTTGGTCCCATTCTTCGGGGATCGTAGAGGGTCTTTTGTCACCGACGCTGCTCGAGAGCTCGGCCGCGATTGTCTATAGAGTGGTACGTATTTTGAGTATTTTTGTCTAGGAATACGAAACGCATTAGCATTCAATTCCACAAGCGGCACAAGGTGAACCGGAAGAAGGGGCGTTGGCTATGCAGAACTGGGCGGGCTCAAAGAGCACCAGGATGCCAACCTACCCATTGTTTGCAATGTAAATTTTGTGAAGATCTTTGCGGCATTGCTCGCAAAAGTATTCATCGGGGGAGCTCTCGGCGCTGAAGATGCCGACGCAGGCGCCGTGCTGCCAAACTTTGCAAATGTCGCACTGAACGAAGAAGCCTGTAACGTCTTCGGTGAATTCAATAGCGTCAAAGAATTCGGCGTCCGGGCTATCCACAAGTGGACGTCCCGGATATTCTTCAGAGCCACAAGGGCACCTGACGGCCTCATCCTCTTCGTCGAGGATGCCGTCACTGCCATTCGCCATGTCTAGGGTGTCTGGGCCGACAGGCTTATCTGGATCGTCTTCTTGGCCTCGCTTGCGTCGTCGCCCGAGGAGGGTATCTTCGGGATCGTCGAGGGGTTCTGAGGATAGGGAAGCACTTGGTGTCGATTTTGTAGAGGGGGTCTTGTTCAGCGACCTTGCATTTCGCTCGGCGCGACCAGACGCGGATGAAGAAGATGATGAATGATGTGACTGGGAAGTGGTCGCGCGAGCTCTAGACGAACGTCGGGGAGATGGCGGAGCCATTGAGGCCAACGTTGGAGACGAAGGGAAGCGTGTGGAGGCGGGAGAAGTCTGCGCGAGAGACCCAAGGCAGTGGCGGTTAGTGTGGAGAGTCGAGGGTAATTGGGGTTCACGATTGAATTGATAACGAGAGTGTGGCCGGAGTCAGGTAATGGGAGGTTCTGGCAGCGACGGCTCGAAGGAGACCACGTCGAAATCGCCAGACCGGCGGTGATTGCAGGAACAGCAGACGGGTAGCAGGAGGCGAGGCGGACGCTACAGCGACATCCGGGAAAAGCAGTCGATTCGAAGGCTGGGTTGGCGATTACTCATGCTGGGAAGAGAAATTGGACGAGACTGGCGCATGACAGTTCGAATCTGGATTTCAGAAGTCGGCACTCGCGAATAGAGGAAGAAGGTGAGAGGGGGTGGTAGGTAAGGTGGTGGTCCGTGGAGGAGATGAGGGCAGCTGCTGGGCTGGAGCGGACAATGACCAAGTTCTGCTTGGCCCACTGTCTACCTCTGGTCGGCGGCAGTAAGTTTGGGTAGGTCTGGCTGACTGAAGGAAATGCGCCCACTGTGCGCGCTGTTGGCGGCGTGCGACGCACTGACCAGGACCGCTACGCTGAAAGGTACTTGCCGCGCCAGGGTCTTAGCTGTCCCTGGTTCGGGAAAGTATGGCTGGGTTAGTGCTCGCGTAGGTACCTGCCTTGCCTGCCTCCGGCTGTCGCAGTGCCCGTGCAGCGCAGCGCAGTCAGTCAGCGTGGCTCCACTGCTGCACAAAATCCGGCGTGAGCCTGCCAATCCCGCCCTTCTGAAATCCGGACCCGCAGGGTTGATGGCATCCCATGCGATTTCTAACTGCTCGTCGCTCGCTGCGGGGCATCCAAACGGCTCACCACTTCCGTCAATGTGCATGAGACAGAGGCTGCGAAGAGAGGGTTTGTTGCAGCCATGCTTGCTCTGTGCGCATGGCATATGAAGGTGCCAAGGCCTGATGTAACAAACACACTCAGTCTTCAGAGACTCAGGTTACAACTCGCAACTGGCAAGTGCGTTGTGCGTGCCCCTCAACCTCAAACCTTCCCCATGTTGTAACACAATACTTTTCTCGAGGGTTAGAATCGACAAAAGTGGTGATACCATGCGGGAAAATAACTATACATGATCAGGCTGTTCTTGAGCCTAGGAGTTTGGCCTTTTGCAGCTTCAACAGTAGTCGAGGGCCAGTTTCGCCCGCTGTCAGTGAGGAAAACGCGCGGGCCGTCCTCTAGATTGAGTCTCATAAGCTCAGGAAAGAGAGCAATACATATATATACAAGGCTTAGACACACGTTTCAACAAGAAGGCCCGCCATCCATGTCCTGGACGGCTCTGCAAGGCGCGGTGGCTTGTGACCTCATGTAGGCGGGCACTGACGAATTAGTCAGTCGGTATTAGTACCCGCCCAAGTGGAACATTAACACACCAAATCGAGGGCTCTCCATTTATCATCGAAAGAATAACTGTAATCAAGAAGTACAGTTTAAATAAATGTCCTGATCCCTCTGCATTTGAGTACTCTCGAAGATAATTCCCTGGACAATAACCGCCGAGGAGTCACCACAAGGTAGATAGTGCCCTGATGTCTCAATCTTAGGTTGCTGCTGGCCAGGTTTCTTGGAGCATTACTCACAATCATGCTTACCTAATACAGGCCCTGGTCTGTGACGCCCACCAGCACCTCCTAAGCGCACAGCACCCAAGCCACCACTATCAAATGCTGGCGCTGCCGTTTCCAATTTGAGATCAAATATCTTGTTCTTCTGTCCTTCAATCAAGCGACATCAAAATTGCATTTTTGTCCTTTGCGAGAGTCCGAATTGGCAGGAACCTCGTTCCGACGTTTCCTTTTGCCACCAAGCCTCCAACTTGTGGAAAACACCTTCACGGCTGGACCGAGGTGTCCCTCATCTGCTGGATGTTTGCCCGTTTATTTGGTAAGGCCCACAACCGATGCATATGCCACCCAAGCCAGATGTTGGTGGTCATCATCCAACAGGAATGATCGCTCTCCCTCTCTTTCACCCTCGTTTGTTTCCTCTTCCAGCTCTACATATCGCGTCGGGACGTGTCGAGGATGCCCTGTGCTGACCGAGTACCTACACAGAATGACTTGGAGCCTGACCGAACCATCGCCCCCCATACCCCCCACCCGAGCTCGAAATCCGCCGCGCAATATATTCTTGGATTATATGGTTTGGCTTGGATCTTAGGAAAGTTGGCTGCTTGCTGGTTAGGATTTAAATCAGCTTTCCCTCATTTCGCGCTTTCCTCCGAAATCAGGTATCCAAGCCATCGGGTTACTACCTGTACAATGTACGATGGGTACGAGTTTGATTTCCTTTCCCTTTCCAGATACCTCCCCTCCCAAGGATCGACCCGATTCTTCGAATTGATCAGTCGTCTTTTTGAATTTCCAGCCGTCTTTCCGCCATGTTATACTCACTCTCGGCGTCAACAATTTGTCCATCATGTTGCCCTGGTCCTGAAATGGAAGGCTGTCGTTGTAATGCTGCTTGCGTAACATGATAATAATTAATGTATAGGCTAACAGGGTGTGCTTCTCCTCATGGATCAGATCATAATTCGACGATGTCATCAGATATTATGCCCAATCTTTTCCCGGACCGGCCTATTAGGCCGCTGCCGAAACGGAGGCTTCGAGAACGACTATCCCCGCAGGTTGCAGAGTCGATAAAATACCCACCTTCAACGCTCAACTCGGTCCCCCTTTTTCAGTATCCCTGCTCATTAAAAGAAGAGGAAACTCATTCAAACATCGGATTTACTAGTTCATCTGGGGGCTTGCAACAAGCTGAGCCGGCAAAAAGTCTTCCAGGCCGCCGAAATGGAGGGGCCAATGGAACAGATGGGATAGAGACAGGAAGGAGCCGCTTCGTTACTAGATCTGTGCCCGAAATTCTGACTCGCGCGATGCCTAGTTCTTCAAGACCAGAGCAATCACGCTCAAGAATGCAACCCGCTCCGTCGACTCCCTCGTCGGTTGATGGTTATGATTCATTTGAGAATACGAACAATAAGAAGAAACGGAAGATCCCCTCAGCCGGTGATTCAGCACTCAACTCGGCTCATGGGCTGAATATCGATATGAGCTCACATCCAACGTCTGCGAACGCAGGCTCTCCCTCTGGTGAAGTCAACGGTGACCATTCGCTTTACAGTTCGGCGGGGTATACCACGACAGGAAGCTTCGGCTCAGCTGGCCAGGGTATATCAGGGTCTGGGAGAGGCAGGCTTGGCAGGTCGAGGAATTGTAGGAGTCCTCTACGAGCCCTCTCTGATGGCAACAATTTGTCAGCTTCCCGCGCCTCGAAAAGCGCTTCGCAATGGTCTTCTGGTATGTGCAAAGTTCATTTCTCTTTGTCCTCTTCTCTCTCCTCCTTCTCGCCTTCGATTCATATTCTGGTTCTCTCAAGTATGTCTTTATAATTTTTAAAAAGACGAGTGGCGGGTGACTCAACTTCTGCTCCGCAGCAAGTTGGTTCGCTCAACCAACTCAATGTCTGAGCATCAGTCCTCTACAACGCACCTGACTTTTGGTCGCTAGTGGCAGCTTCCTCAACTTGGCCATTTTTTCGGTTTTGAATTTGGTTGATTTGGCCTGTTCTTCTTCTTTTCTTCGCCCTCCTCACGGATTCTGCGATATCTTTTGTTGCCAACTCGGTCTTCATATTTCTACCCCTGAGAATCAAACCAGCTTCTACTTCCCAATGCCCGAACTTTCTTGTTATCGGCTTGCTGATGGACGACTAATATTCTTAATAGAGCATCCCGGCTCCAGCGGTATTATTCGAAACGCAATAGCGAATGCGGGAAAACTACCCCCCCAAGGAGAAGAGAACGTGAGCCTCTTGCAACAACACTCTGTCAGGAGCAAAGGCACACCCTCCTCATCCCAGTTCACTTTCACCTGCGACTCGCAAGTCACCGGCACATTGCATTGGCCCGGTCCGTACCATCATCCAGAATTTAATGCGTCTAGTTACTAACTTGTAGCAGCCAACTCATCCAGACATGGCATGGGCCCGCAGTCAGGGGCTGGCTTCATAAACGGAGCTCCAGTGGCTCACCACGAGGACCTTACCAAGGCTGCCAATCGCGACGCACGAAGAAAGACTCGCCGGCAAGCTGAAAAGGACATGGTGAGAGCAGCAGAGGCTCGTCGGCAGTCAACTGCCAAACGGCATTATCTGAACCCCCCCAAACCCGAAGACTTTTGGATTTGCGAGTTTTGTGAATATGAAGCTATCTTTGGAGAGCCTCCGCGAGCTCTCATTCGACAATATGAGGTGAAGGACCGTCGGTTCCGGCAAGAAGAAGCCGATAGGAAGCGGCTCCTGGAGAAGGCGAAACAAAAAGGCAGGAAGGGCAAAAAGAATGGGAAACCATCTTCAAAGGGGAGCAGCATGACAAATCAGCACGATTCAGCTGGCGCATATGAAACGAACGTGCCTCCGCGCAATCAATCAGGCAATAGCCAGTCAACGCAGTCGGAGGACGATGAGGACGAACAAGCCGCCGAGTCAGAAGAGACGTACCACACCCCTCGCCCAAGTAGGCCAGGAAATGAAGAAGATAGGGGAGGAGGCCCGAGTCGGAGAAGAGGAGTCAGCGTTGACAGCGGGGGGGCCGGCATACCTCGGGCTCCGACACCCAAACTTGCAGTACCATAGTAGGAATCTGACTGAAAGTCTGCTCCGAAGTATCGGGCTTGCTTTGCTCTCATCCGGAACAGTATGCTTTGCTCGCTTACGCTTGGTAATCCCCCGGCGTTGCTAGAAAGTTTGTTTATTCGTGTATTAAGGACATCTTGGATGTGAGAGGCAAAGAGCAGCACCAGACAAGGAATCTGCTACAAGGCCGATGAGTCCTTGATGTACAATTAGTCCCCATGACTTCTTATGTAGCGTCTATAGCCTTCGCGGCTGTTTGTTTAATTGAGCGGCTTTGTTTACTACTTGCGTGGCACACTCATTGTTCTTTGCTCGGGTCTCAGCTAGTGCTGTTTGGCGTCTTGTCCCTTTCACAGTTCAAATCAATGCTCTACTACAACCTCGGCCCGTCCACTGCATCCAACTTCTAGATCAATAGGGGATCTAATTCCACCACACCTCAGGCTCTGATCGAGCAAATTGTCCATAAACCCCGGACGGTCTCGTCAACCGTCTGTCTACCCGCATACCTCTTTCAGGCACGCAAGGGGCTCGTCCAACGCACAAACTTTTGTTTTGATTGCAAAACGAGCCTAGAACAGTTGCCCTGCTCTTGACGATGGCCACGAGAGAGAACGATGGGCGTGGCCGATCCACATTGGCATTGCTTCTCAACTTCCCAGGGCGAAAGATCTCGGGACGGCGTCATGCCCACGCAGAGACAGGCAGGGATCGGCAACAAGTGCCTGGTGTCGAGAGCGTCATTCTCGGAGGTGTTTTAGACGTACCGCGCTGTGGTGGGGGGAATGCTAAGGTGGTGTTAGTGAGGCCTAAGGATGGGGCTCTGTCGTCATTGACGCTTCATGTCGCCAATGAGGGAGGCGCCTGGAGGTACGTACACTGGTGCTAATTTGCGCCTGTCTTCCCAAACACATTCAGCTTCAGCCAGCTCCCCCTGTCAGCACGCTGGACCTATCCGAATCGATCACCAAAGTCCTAACTGCCTGCGTTTCTGCTGTCCATCTGGTGTGGACCGAGCCTCCATGGTATGGTAGGTGGTGGCGGCGGTTGCTGTGGTTCATACGTGGTGCTACTAGGTAGGATGCGCTTGCATCGAGTGTCGAGTGCCGGCCCATCTCAAATTACTCCCTGGGTATCCATACCGTCTGGACACTGCCCGTCCGTTTCATCCTGATTACCATACTACTAGGAGTACCTGCTATTCCTGGCCCAGATCGAATCCACCTCTTCCGCAAACCTGCAAGTCTCCGTCATTCCAACTTCTTATCCATTATCCATTTAATTATTCATTCAGTCAATTGTTCAATTCTTCTGCCCCCTTGCCGACTTAATCTATGACATAACCGGCCTTTGGCAGTTGCTGGCACAGCGAGCCATCATTAACTCACCATGTTTGGTGGTTCCCGCAGGCGTCGTCCTCCTGTTCAGGTATGTTCCGAAAATCACCTGCTGTTCGCTTGAAGCATTAGAGTTCGCGCCGGCCAGCGCTTGACCACGGGACCCGTCGCTCGAGTGTGCGTCCAGCTGCTTGCTTAATTATGCTTGGACACCGTCATCGAGCCCTCGCATCGTCTTGTTACTGGTCGTTTGTGGCTCCTGTCGCAACGTCCGTTGTCTCGCCCTGGTCACCCTCCACCTCGCCTTCCCTTGAAGCTACTGGCCCTTGCCCAGCACCACCTTCTCGAACATTGATATCGATCTTTGCGCTGACATGCCTCTGCTAAAGCCTCTGACGAGCGAGACTGCAAATCCAAACGCAGCAACAGCCGCGGCCTCGGCTTTCATGCGCAGCGAGCCCTCGAATTCATTATCATCCGCCGCCGCCGCCGCCGCACTCAAAGCACGTCCTACCACCCCGACCAATGTCGCCGAAGTCCAGTCAAAGCGCGCTCTGCGGAGGAGTGCCTCTATCACGAGAAGTCCGGACCGATCGCGCCATGGGAAACAGCTCCAGAGGTCTCCCAGCGCCAGCTCTATGACCGAGCGCACTTTCAGGTCACCCTCGCCTGGCCGCAACCCGGCACCAGTACCACACGATGCCCCTCCTGTTCCCAGCTTACCGAAAACCGAGCCTCAGAAACAGTCGTTCCGAAGTACGAACCAGAAAACCAAAAATGGCAGTGGGGGCATTAGCATTAGGACGTCGGATCTTGTGTCGCGAACCTCCACCGACGCCAACGATGCCAGGCCTGGAAGCATCAGCCCTTCGATCAACTTTTCCTATCCCAGGGCGACAATAGAATCACCTACACTATCTGCACCGTCTGGTTCAGAGGTCACATTGGTCTATGACCCCAACTCTAGGAGAATGGTTCCCAAACTGGAAATCGTAGACAAGCATCATGTTCAGCGAACACCAGAAAAACCGGCGAAGAAGAAGAAGCAAGCATCACAACCAATTGGTGGTCGTGCTGAAGTGACGAAAGCTCTGGTTGCCGAATCTCCAGGCCGTGATCAGACTCGCCCAGCAGCGACATCAAAAACGCACCAAGTAGCAGTAATGGACGACCGCTCAACACAACCAACCAAGTCAGCGCAACCAGCAGAAGTCAAGCATCAAGGAACACCAGCCGTGGAGTCAAATACGAGCAACACAGAGCCTCCCCCACGTAACATAATCAGCTCTGAGGTTGAAGTGCTGAGTCCTGCACCCAGTGCGCCCCGCTCATTCCCCCTAAGGGTCAATAAGTTGCCTTTGAAAACGGATGGAGAGGATGACACAAGCAACGCTGTTGACTCTGGCAGCGCTCAGGAGACGGACCACGCAGCTCCTGCAGTCTCTCCCCCTACTTCTGACACGCAAATACAAACGACATCGGGCGAAGATAGGGCCCCGCCTCAAGAACCAGTTGCAGCTCCAATTGCCGAACCGCGTGGACAAGCAAGGGAAGTCCGAAGAACTCGGGTAGAATCACAGAGCCCTTCGCACTCTCCCGCACGATCTGCCCACTTTGCGCCGACGACGGCTCAACTCTTAGTTCGCCATGAGCCCCCTCCCAGATCAATTTCCCCTCGAAAATCGGCTTTGAAGCAGTCCAATAACGTCCGAGGCAGTGGCCTATCTGATGATAGCTCCGAGGCCTCGGGGTCAGTGAGTGGGCAGTATTCCAGAGACAGCTCCGTCCAAGCCACCAAAAAAGCTTTTCGCGTTAGTTTCACGGATGAGAACACAGTTGTCGCTGGAGATTCAGCCGAACCGCGGGAGCCGAGCCCTCCAACATTACCAAGCCCACAAGCTAAGAAACCATGGCACAATGTCATCACACGACATCAGAAAAAGGACAGGCCTCTCGTGGACGAAGACGAAACCATGTCCCCCAGGCCTGCTTTACCATTGTTCGGTAGCGTGCGAGACAAGAAACCACGAGAGCCCGATAACGAGCGTCCGCTTGTTCGCCCTTCAGAGAAGATTTGGTCCCCGGGGCCAGGACCAGAAGCGTCTAGAATGTCAAACGATTCCCCGGTTGGGTCTCTTTCCGCACAAGAGAATGCATCCCGGAACGCAGCCAATATATCGAAAGCACGAGAGCCACTCCCACCAGTTGTCCAGTCTGTTGACATGATAGGCTACGTGAGCAATAGTCCGTCGAGTTCAGATGATGAATTGGACGATTCAGACACTGCTCGGTCCACTCAACTCACAGAGCAACACTGTGATTCCCAGCCAAAAGAGGACCCCACTCAACCACCCAGGCAAGAGATTTCTTCCGACGAGAAATCATCACTTATTACTGCAGATCCAAAGTCTTTGGACGGGAATGGACACGCACAGGATGATTCACCAGTGATTAAGCAAACGCTGCTCAGGCGGCCAGAAGATGTTCCAATAATTTCCATCACAAACCCCAGCCCTTTATTGAAGGACGTGGATGACAGCTCACCGGCTAGTGACTACTTCGATGTCCCGGGCGGCTTTCCTGAGGACGGCTCTTCTGAGCCTGTTGTCGTTGGAAACGACACACCTTCTCTCGAGATAGTCACCGAGCCTTCACAAGCGCCAACACTGGCCGAAGTTGAAGAGACGCCTGTCCCTGGCTCGCCCATGGGAGATATCAAGGAGGAGGAGGAATCGACAGATGGGAGCAGCATCTATAGCGACGCCTACGAAGACCTCTCAGATATAGAGGGTGATGGTTTCATGTCGTTGGATGCCGTCCTCGAATCTCCCACAAGTGGAAAGATGGCCAAGATCTACGAGAAGGCTCTGTCCCAGGCCAAAGAAAACGAAACAGCTGCAACGTCGGTTTCCGATAGTGGGGTTCCCGAGGTGTTACCCAAAACCTCACAGGACTGGGAGAATGCAAAGGTATATTGGCGTAGTCTCTCCTCTGATAAGCGCCGCCAGCTTGAGGTCGAGGCGATGGAGGAAGCAGCAGAGGAAGCTGATCAAGAGGCGCCGTCTAAAGTAAAGAAAAGCAAGAAGAAGAGGCGTTCAGCTGATCGGCAGGCGCTGACCGCCGGCGCCACCGAGAATTCGCAGATGGTCAATGGATCACACCGAGGGCCAAAGGCATCTACCAGGGAGGAAGTACCCGTAAAACCCTTTCGCAAATCGATGCGAGGCAACCGGCCTCAAGAAACGGGAGAACCTCAACAACCAAGGGGTTCTATGCGCAAAAGTTTACGTTCTAATGGGGATGTTGGGGATTCTCACACATCCCGTCCCTCGTCATACCACCAAGGTTCTGCAGCTGAACCATCAAACGACACGAAACGATCGATGATACTCAATGGGCGTCCAGCATCGTCAGGGGGTATAGTCGGTGCAAGTGGGAAGCCTACATTGAGAAGGCGTGGATCTGACTCGAGTGAGAGCAGCTTCAAACGCTCACGGTCAACTCATGGAGAGGGATTTGGCTTCCGGAGGTCAATGAGAGAGCCAGAGCCGCAACATTCTTCCAAGGGCAGTGGCCGCTTCAGTCTTCGTTCCCTTTCTCCACCAGGATCACCTTTCCGCCGCCAAAGCTTTCAAGCGACAGCATCTATAAATACTGGCGGGGGAGGAATGAAGCAGTCATTGCGAAGCGATTCAAAAGACACCAAACACAAACGTTTTTCTTCTTTTGGACGACCCTCGGGCAAGAAAGCAAAGCAGGGCAAGCTGGGAAGCCGCTTCGCAGACTCAAGCGATGAGGAAGATGCGCGCCCGTCGATGTTCAGGAGCCGCTTTGCTGATTCCAGTGATGAGGATGACAGGCCCTTGTCCTCTCACAAACAACGTGGTTTTGCCAAGACAATGAGGACGAGTCAGGGTGCCAGTTCAGCAGCCGCTGCAGCCTTGGGTGTCCCTCCCGCTCAGCCCAGGGCAGACTCGCCTGATCTTCCGGACAGTGACGATGAAATTATCCAACCAAAGCGTGGCTCCTCCGTGATTGGAAATGGGCGTCCTCCTGTGCAACGGAATCGGTCCGGGCGTGGTGAACTGGCCTCTAACGCTGGCCTCATTGGAACTGAGGACCTGGGAGATCGCCCCTCTCATACCCGCAGGAACAGTTTCATGTCCAGCATACTCCGCAGGAAGAAATCACCTGGGAACAAGATAACGCGGGAAATCAACGAGAGTGCTGCGCGCCGCGACACAAGACTTGAACGAAGTACCGAAGAGCTTGCCATGATCCGAAGCAACAGTGGCAGCCGTCTCCCAACCCAGAAGCGTGGTCCTAGTTGGCCTCTGACGGACGGAGGCGAAGAAAGCGGCTCCAAAGCAACCGCCGAAGCTCCTATACCACGCCCTGCAACCAGCTCTGGTGCTGGTCCCTCTGCCTCCTCACTGGGCTTTCTCAAGCGCCGAAGCCTATCCCACCAAGAAGTGCCTCCTTACGTTCCGCCATATGCTGGTCAAGAACAGGAAGAAACACCTTCTGAGGTCATGGGCAAGAAGAAGAAGTTTGGCACACTGCGCAAAATGTTTGGTCTCAATGATTAGGAGATTGATACTGAATCACCAAGCTTCCTGAGGTGCTGTTAGCAGAAATATTTCCCTAACACAACCCTTCTTTGGATAAACCTTTTTCCTTTTTTGAAATAGTTCTCAAAAAGCTATCCTTATTCTAATGACTTGAGCGCGGGTGGCCGCGGCTTTCACCCTCTTCATTCATTGTCCTATAGCTTTACATTCATTATCATTATTTATTACTCTGATTAGTATTATTACTACTATCCGTCACCATTTTCATTATCATTACTTGTTGGTCACGGTTAATGTTCCTTGTTTGGGTGCATGGTAGACATGGGGAACAGGCATTTGGGTTTATGGGTATTCTGTCAAAAGGCAACAGTGTAATCAAGGCGGGATGCTTGCTGCATTCATTTGTATGGATTGTTCCAGCGGGAAATGGGTCTGGGACATAAACACATAATACTACCGCAACGGTTCCTCGCGCTCTGCGATGGGGCTGCATGTTCATATCTTTCTCTCTAAATTTGGTAGTGAGACAGAACGAGTGAGGGTTTCATAATCGATCTAACTGGCTATGCCACAATTAGACATATAGATGAGGAAGTCTTCGTTGGGTATTAGGCGGGTGTATAGAAACGCAAGCATCATTCAACCGGCATCAGCCGTTGTGATAATACCCAAGGTAGGTAGATTACGATGGTTATTGGAGGGGGTGTGCATAGGGTAGCTGACAATAGCACAGTTAACCTCACTGGCAACTCGTCTGACCCATAGCAAAAGGCCGCATCCCTTTGATGCATGCTGAATTTATAGAGTTTTTGTTGTTGAAAATATGTTTTGCGAATTAATTTTGTTTTTCTCTATTCTAAAGCAGCCAATGCGTATTGCGTCTAATTTCACATCCACTCCCCAGCTAGGACCAACATCTGTGTACGCAAGTCCCATGGCAACCAGCACTCATTCTGTTCGATAGAGGTGACAGCCACTCGCAAGGTAGGTACGGAGGTTCAAGGTAGTCACAAACCGGACGACTCAAAGTAAACATGCTCTGACGACAGGGGCGATCGTTTCCTTTTGTCTTCTGGGAAACCCTGGATTCATGGCTAAACTGCCAGGTTTACTAGTCGCTCACCAAGCAAGGCGAGCCCGAGACTCGCAGCAGACCTTGCCCTTCCCTGTTCATCAGCGTTGTGATCATCGCTCGTTGGATTGGGAACCTCTTGCCATCAGATCCAGTGTTATGGCTGCAGTTCTTCATGTGGGCTTTGCCGCCTTTCCCGATATTGGGACATGGGAAGCTACTTATGGAACGGTGATAATGTTGGTCATGTCCGTTCATTTTGTTCTTCAGATAGCAAAGTGCGCAAGACCTAGGCCAGCCACACATTAAAAATTAAATTATCGTCTATCTACGCAGGAGAGATTCGCCATGCGACTAGACTTGTGTCTTGTTTTAAGTGAAATGGATCTTACTAGTTGTTGCGTGCTCGAACGCAATTGATTGATTATTCTTGCTTGGTCTGTCCGCAACGTGCTCGGATGCTACTGAGAATGAAACAGGGCACTCTCGTAACATTATATGAATGCTTATTACATGTCATCCCTTTGCGGTTTAACGTGAGTCTTATACAAACCTATGGTACAAACGTATATGCTGGCAAATAGAAAACCCATGCACCACCATAACATGGGAAGCATGCCAAATAAGGCCAGTTAGATGGAATCCAGCACGAAGGCACCGAATTCTCGACAGGTCAACTGGCTAGCTCCTAGATCGGGGCTTATTGCCTGCCCTAGCCTTTTCCCTCTCCAGAAGAAGAGTTAATTGGCTCTTGGTTCTGCCAAGCGGAACACTGGCCGAGGTACTTGGCTGGGTTGGCGTGAGGTGGGAATCTAGTAAAGAAGAAGATGGTGAAATATCCTCGTCGAATCGGTGTCCAAAATGGTGGGTGATTGGGAGCGATCCAACACTCCCGGCCTGGTCGATGATGGTTCCCTGTGCAGCTATGTTCGTCGTCGAAGCAGTCGCTCCAGTAAACAACTTTGGATTTGGCGCCTTTATATGAATCCCCTCTCTAGGACGAATAAACCCAGAGTGGGACTGGGATCGAAGCATCGGCGCAGGAGGGTTCGGTGGAGTTAATACTTCGGGTGCATCGATCTCTTTGGAGAATGGACTGTGATTGTCCTGGACACCTTCTGAGAGTTTCGCAAGCGATTTTCTAGTTGATATCAAGTCGTGGTGCGAAGATTGCCGGGACATGTAAGGTGCTTGTGGCCTTGATGTTGTCGTCATCTTGTCGGTAGTAGTGTTCCTCACGACAGCTGGTCTCTTTCCAGCTGCTTTTTCGCTAAGGTGTTGCGATCTGTTGGAGTCGACTGAACCCATGTTATGAGTTGCTTTCGAGCTTTCGTGACTTGATGGGCCGGGAATATCAGGTGCTACAGGTGCTACTGGCGTCTTAGGTGAAAGGCTCTCCTCGGGGCTTTGTGAGATTGGGGCTGCCGCAGTGGCATCTTTGCTTGCCAGTTTCGGCACCCCGGAGGGCTGGGAGCTAGACTTTCTGCGTATTACTGGTCGCCTCTTCGAATGTCCAGCAGAGGCGACAAACTTTTTGGACTGCAGCGGCGCTTTCTTCTTGGGTGGTGAAGGGTTGGGTGTTCGCATTTCTAATCCCGGAGTGATAGTGCTTCCCGATGATGGAATGTCGCCTTCCATATATTGCTCTTCCTCAGACTCGTGGGGTGAGACGAAACGTGCCGTAGGGCGAGGTCCTGTTGTCGATGGACCTCTGGGCTTCTTCAAGATGGGATGAGCTGGAGGGGGTCTTGAAGCGCTAGACAAAACCAGGTCGGACTTGCTGGGACCTTTGCCATCAGCCAGCATTTCACCCTGCTGGTTGATCCCAGCAAGATGCACCGTTGGCCTGCTCGGAGTAGAGCTCTAAACTCAGTTAGATGCGATTAAATTCGTCTAGTGGCCAGACAATTGGGGAGAATGTGGAGGGCGAGCCTACATCTGGTCCTTCCCATCGGTTTGGCGGCCCTCTCAAGGGCACAAAAGTCGGTCCCAATGAGATATGCTCGTATATCGAGGCCAAAGTACTGCCACTTAGGAGACGTCGATCACTCCCCATTACATGCCACCAAAAGTTCTCGAGCCGCCGAGCGATGGGATCTTGGAGCTTTTTGTTTGTAGTTGTGTACACTTAAACACGGAGTTGTAGTTAGTAAGTAGACTCAGCAAATGTAGAGCTAAGCAACGGGAGGCCCAAGCATACCTCTCCAGTACTTCCACGCCTGGTCAGGAGGCACCTGGGGAAAGCTCGCAACCTCTTGATAAATAGTACTCGTGTTCACAACGATGCCTTTCGGCAGCGCAACATGATCCGCGTTGTCCATTTTTGCGGCTCCTTTGCCAGTTGGCTCAAAGAAAACGAGCTCTAGCCAGCTCTCGCGGTCGGCTCGACTGAAATATTCACAACTGGATAAGCTTATTATATAAATGGATCCTCAGGTGGCCAACTGTGCACAAAATGTTTGAGCACAAGTAGGATCCAGTGAGATCATCGAGCCCGAGTCATGGCAACAATCATAGTCTCTGTCATCAATCGACTTCAAGTCGCAGATTTCCTTCGGATAATCTGACGATATGAGGGCCGGGCAGATCGAAGATGAGAAGACGGTGAGAAAAAGAAAGAAAACGAATGACGATAAAAACCTAGTTGCGAGGAAACCTCCTTTTCCTTTCCTGGGGAAGAGCGGCCTGAATCAACAAGGGGTCACCTTGGTCGTAGCGGTGATTCGGCGCGAGTCTCTTTGAGTCGGTGAGCGAACCTGACTCGAGTAGCTGCAAAGGAATGTCACGCAAAATCGTAGTTTTCCAGGAATGGGCGGCCAACGTTCTAGAAGAAATTTGTGGATATTTGATAAGAATCGTGATGGTCGCCGTAAAGGAGCGCTTCACCAGACGGTTTGACAAAAGGATGGACGTTGGTTGTGTGCACTTGGGCCTCTAGGTGCTGAGAGAGGGGGGCCCGAGTCCCATGTGAACAAGCCGGAGGTTGATGAATAAAAGCTTTTTCGCTTCTTCCCTTCTGATCGATTATCAGGGCGAAGAAGGTTGTCGACTACTGGCAGTCTAGGGTGGTTGAGGGCTGCATGCAGGAGCATGCATGTACTGCGCGCTGTGACTACATGTGCCTCGTGACAAGGGTGCAGTTGGGGACAATGCGCCAGTCCAGAAGGCTTATTATGCGATCGCGCACGCGGTAGAGCAGCAGGTGATCAGAAGGGGCCGGTCCGAAGGCCGTCCTGTCTCCGTATGGAATCGATTTGCAGCAGCCGTGTGGGGGGAGGCAAGGGGGCGGGCTCCCTGGGGAGAAGAAACAATATGACGTCGCAAACAACCAGAGAGGCTGAACAATGAATGCAATGGGCGAGCGGTGCGAAGAAGAGAGCGGCGAGCGTGGGAAAGAAAAGGAAGAGGCAGCCAAGGTCGTACTAATAACAATCAGTCAATTGCCTGCCTGCCTCCGCGACAAGTACCTGAGGTATGGGCAAGGAAGGATTTTCAGGCCCAAGGAAAAAGGAAAGTGAGAGAAGAGGTACCTGTGACAGCTCGGAGTGGCCTGAAGGGGGAAATCCAGCAGGTCGGTCTCGAACAACCGAAAGTCGTGGTCGCAGTCGCAGTGGCAGTGGAAAGGGCGACCCAAGGGCCCGAGGGGGGCTGGCACAGGCACAGGCACAGGCGCCGCCTTGGAGTCTCGACGAGAAGAGCTCTACGGGACAATGACTATCATGTCTGCTCCCTCGCGCGTTCGGACATGACAATGATACACTTTGGAATTTAAGAGGCAACGAGAGGTGGATAGTCTGGGTTTATATTAATGTATGTTTTGGATCCGACGCCTGTGCTTCTACTGCCCAGAGGACCATCCGCTAACCGACCGGTTTCTAGGTACCGCCTCGTCGCAATTAGCGGCAGCACGGGGCCACGCCGCAGCGCAATAGCCTGCCTAGGCACCTACATACCCAACCTGTTCCTGGGTACCTTGCCGAGGGAGACATCTGGTAGGTACTTCTTGAGCACACCAGAGCTCTGGCTCGAGACGATACATCACATCAGGAAAAATTCAAACATCCCAAGTCGCACTGGGGCTGGGGCCAGGACGCCAGCTCCGGCCGAAGATCCATATTTACTCTCTGTGCAATTTAGAGGCTTGAAAGGAGGCAGAGCAGGCCAGTTATCGGCCAAGACGACATGGAGGTGCATTGCCGCAGTACTATCTACGATTAACCTGCTGCTATCTCCTCCTAAATGCGACTACAGGCGGCTAGACTAAGAAGTCATCTCCCCAACTGCCTACCTCAGCAATGGCTTCAGGACGAGACGGTGAGAGTATTGGCCATGCCAGATCATTGACCACTGCTCGAATATACGTACATAGTCATGGCATCGCAATCTTGTTATCCATGCTAAGAAGAAGAAAATATCCCATTACGTGGCATGCCCGTGTTATGCTTGCTCGGGCCGGGTGGACTTTCAGAGTCCGAGTTCAAGGGGCTCTCAAGGGGTCCAGGGACGAGGCCCACAGGGCTTGGGCAGCAATGGCTCTCACTGTCTATCTCAAGCGGAACATGGATTAAAAAATAGAGCTGTCTGCCAAAGCCGGCAATTCTACGATACGGGTCGTTCCCAAAGGCAACTCTAGGCGTGGCCCCGATATCGTCGACGCCACTCTCCCTTGGGCTGGCCGCTAATTCAAGCCATCTCAGGGAACCGCGGCCATTTACCATTGTCATTCAACATATCATATCCATATCCAGAACGCAAGTCCTCAGTACAAACCCCTCCGGCCCAAGACAAGAGCGGTGCGCCTCGAGTCCTTGTCAAATGGCTAAGCTCGGCCAGCTTCGGAAAGATATCCCCAGTCCAGCATCAGGGCCTACGGTGACAGTCAGCCGTTTCATAACCCCAAACCCGGTCCCCTTTCCCATGAATACCATAGCCATCTATCTACCATCTTTATCTCACGGAGTATTCTCGCAGTATATCTGGTTTGTCATCATGATAACAGCAGCCAGCAGCAGCAGCATCGGCATGCTTATTACTGGCCCCCCTTGACAACGCCTTGACGTCTTGGCCGAATCCTATGGAAGAGTAAAATAGCTCACCGGCCCTCACCGACGGCAGGGCTGGCTCAAACAAGACAAGAAGAAGCAAAACTCGTCAGCTTTGGGCGTAAATTTAGGAGCACGGAGGCAAGGCCGGGCATTGCTCCCTGCCCGCCGCCTCTGGCATGCCTCAGTGCAACTCTCTCCCCGGGCAGGGATATTGGGATCCGCGACCAGGGACCAGGGAGATGCAGCATGAACCAGGAAACTGGGCCAAAGCTAGCCAAGCCAAGGTACGACTGCCCGCCGCGGTCCTCACCGTCTCAGCGTGGAGGAATGAGTGGCTAATGAAGCCCTCGAGGATACGCAAGGAAGCCGGAGAATTGCGCGAGCAGGCTGGCCAATAGTCTTCGGGTGTCACGATTAGCAATGGGAAAAGGAAAGGCTGCCAGAAAGATAAACCCGCGCCGAGGCACCTAACCGTTTGAGTAGTTTGGCCCTTTCCGTTAGGTATCGACCTGTCACCGGGCAAAAACCCCCACGTTTTGGTGCAGGGGGGACTCTTGGCCTTGGGAAGGGTTGCCAGCCGGACCTGGGCGTTGCCTGGGAAGGGGATTGATTGCGGTGGAGCAAAGTTCTAGAACAAATCTTCGGATTCCTCGCCTAAAACACAAGAGCCTCCATTCCTGCATCCGGCGACCCCCAATGGTTAATAATAAAGAGTCGGGCTCTCCCTTGTTCTGGCACTGTCTTGCTTCCCAGACGCGCCCGGTGCTAGCCGGCCACGTCCGCGCCTCCGGATCATCTGGGCTCGTGCTCGCGATCATTGGGTATCAAACGGCAGACCCCCGTGCTATTCTTGCTATGTTTGTGTTTGCATCCTGGCACGGACCCCCCCGTGGATGGCTGTTCGAGAAAATGTTGTCCTTTGGGGGATGCCGGATCAGATGAGGAGACATGACTCAAGAGAGAAGGACAGCCACTGGTCTCAGCACGCAATTGCCTGTTCCAGTAACACGAGGGAAAGGCTTTTTGGGGGCGCATGGCTGATTAATCAATCAATCAATCAATCCTTGTCTCCTTCGGCAAACCGCATCCCTCAAAGAAAACCCAGGAGCGCAACCCAGGTGAGGAGAAGGAGGACGAGGAAGAGCAAAGGAACACTCACACGGCCTTGTCTCAGATCACGGTATCCAACGATCGTTATTGGCCCGCCAATGCATATCAATTGGCGGAGGTGGCCGAAGTCAGATGACCCTGTCAAGTTGGCTCCCGCTTGGGGCCGATTATGGTCCTTTTGACAGCAGAAAAGTATGTTGGGAGAATCAAGTCAACAGGATAAGAGATAGATCTCCACGTTTTGCATGTGAATCGATTACCCAACCAGTTTGAAACTTTCTTATCATACCTAGTAGAATGCCTGTAGTGAGTATCCCGATGGTCAATAGGACATGAAGGCCCCTCGGCATTCCTAATCGAATGTCAACCGGCAACTCCTACTGTGATCATGTTACACAAGCTCTTGGTGGTGTGGCACTGCGAAGTCGCTCAAACACTCTCACGCATTTTTCAGAGCACATCCTTCTCGCCCCCGAGCACACCACTTCCAAGCAACAAGATATGCCCCTGCGGCTGACGGTGCAATCCGTAAGCCACATTTATAATGGCTACTCTATCGGATCATAGCTGTTTGGGCTGACCCTGTTTTACCTTTTCTCAACTCTCATGTCGGATCATATCGCTAAATGAGATCCTATGACTGGGTGGCTGCAGAGATGCGGAGAAATATCACATCACGCGCCTTGGGGAAACCTAGAGCCACCAACCTCCTACGCCAGATTTTGCAGACCACTTGGTGCATGAGGATGCTGACCTGCTTGACGCAGAATATGCAAGTCAAGTCGCAGTCACCCAACCTCCGCAGCTCATTGGTCCCCGTTTTGGATTCGGTTGCACTCGTGAAAGAACACGAGCCCACCAAAGTGGGTGACTGGAGAAATGAGACACCTAATGGAAGAGTTAGCTACAGACTACTTTCTACAATAAATAGAGAATTTCAGTAGTATAAAACGATAAAAAGTGATAATATATACTAGATTATCTCTGAAGTACGTATTATTAGCACTCAATAATCTGATAATACTGGCCATAGACTTGAAAACAAGCAGCTTAATGTTTCAGTATCTCAATTTCAGTGTCACCCACTTGCCCACCTACTGGTTCCGCTGCAGCCCACCTCTCCAAGTTTTGGGGATATTGGCTTCATGGTGATCGGAGTTAGCCCG